CCTATATATATATATATACAAGATCAGTAAAAATTATTAATTTAAAAAGAAAGAAATCCCTATTATGAATCAATATCGTGGTTCATGATTAAGCTAAGAATTATTATTCTATAATAAAAGTACAATAACAAAAATAGTATTAAATATATTAAACAGGATAACCAATACTGTTAATGAAAGAAACAATAACTAAATAATATAGTATACCTTACTTAGGGAGCATAGAAACACTAGCTGTTGGATTGAACTAAGAGCGCAGAATCCATTCACTTTGAAAAACGTGAGATCAGTATAACATTCCTGACTCTTCTCCAATCCTCCTTTTTGACCAATGAAAGCTCATTAAACCACTCCGCAGTGTAACTTTAGAAAAGAGTGGTATTTGTGAGTGTGACAAATTTACGACGACACATGTTACTGTTGAAACTGTTTCAAGTTATTAGCAGTAACTTACCTACAGTAAAACCAAAAACTAATGTTTGTGAAGATACAAAATAAAGAATAAGAAATTAAAAGAATACCTGAATCGTCCATGAAAATATAATACAAAGAAAACATGTTAAACATACTATGAGGTGTACCTAACAATAAAACTATAACCTCTGACCCTCAAAACACATAGAGATAACTACAGAAAGTAATAAATAACTTTAAATCTTCTGTAAAAGTTGAAAAGGAAACACGATAAGCCTCTAGAAATTTCAGTTAATAATAATAATACAATAAAAGGAAAGTTACAACACTCAATAATATGGCAAAGAAAGTAATTATCAAAACTAATGATGTAACGTTATACCGCATATAGAAGTCTTACATAACTATAGTATCAACTATATATAGTAAGAGCTTAAACTAACGGGAGATGAAACCAATGATAGTCAGTACAGTAAAGTGGTACACTATTATCCTAAACAATATCCCAAGGAATTCAAGTGTAGACGTGACAGTTCTTAGTCGGTCGTGATACTCTGTAGAACTTTTATTAAACCTGTAACTTTATTAAACATTGCTAAATTCCCACAGAAGTGAATGAATTTTGTGTTTAAAAGGCTCAATGACTAGCCTCGTTTATTAAAGATAGGAGCGAGTTTACGACCTATGTTCACAAAGTCTTATGATGTTGAATAAATTCTAAAGTATCTAATACGCTTTGAGTAAAAAACATTGTCACATAACTTGTTTGGAATATTCGTATTTGGAAAGGAAAAGTTTATAAGTTCAAAGTCGAAAGTGGCCGTTTTATTGAAAACTTTAAATTTGAATGTTAGATTAATTATGTTAATATCTAAATTAGATATTGTGCTTTGTTTTTAGTGAAAGAGCTTTTATCTAGAGTGAGTTCTGTTGTATAATTTTGTTCGGCTAAATCTAGAAAACCTTGATAATCCTGTATAATAATATCCACAAGCGCGACTGATATGCAAGGCTTTGGTATAATCTTTCTTAGCAAAATTTGTAATGAGTGAAAATTCTAGTCCTAATAAATATAAATCTGCAGCTTTAGAGCTTCAGTTACCTCCCAGTTGTGATCAATGGAAGCTTAAATATAACAGGATGAATTACATTTGCATTTAGAGGATAAAATGTTATGTAATCCTCAATGGTTATGTTATCTAACACTTTATTATGAATGACCCTCTTACAAGAATAGCTAATAGTTGGGTATTTAGTTTTGTAAGTGTTAGGTAATAACTGTTATATAGTTTTCGTAATAAATTATCCTGTGCTTTAGTCCTGTTTGTTGAAACTGCTTTTGTGTTTTTTGTGTCGTCAAAATAAAGTTGATCCGCTTTTGTAAAAGTTTTATAAAAAACAGCAAAAAATATAATTGATTTTTCAAATGTATTTATTGTCATAAGAAAGTTGATATTTCGTGAGTGTTTTTGTTGCCATCAAAATAAATTTTATCCACTTTCGTAAATGTTTTTAATGTGACCAGAATAGAATTGTTCAGCTTGTGTGTTTCTATAATGTCGTCTAAAGAATGAAAAAGTGATTTGAAAATCTTTCTAATGCTGTCAAAAAGAGTTTTCATCCGCTTTCATCAGTGTTCAAAAGTAAAACTGATTTCATAACTTGACCCGCTGTTGCACGGATGGGAAACGCCATTAGAAGAAACTAGTTCCGTTTTCGGAAATTTTCCTAATATCATTAGAAGAATACAGGTTTCACTCTCGTAACTGTTTCTGATGTTATAAAAAGAAAGTTCATCGACTTTCGTAAAGTGTTTCTGGAACTTTCGATCTGAACGGTAACTTATGCGAGACATAGGATAAACAGCCAGGTCAGACCCCTATATGGTTCAGATTTAGTTGTCCATAATTTTGAATTATTAACCAAAAGGTTGTGTTACGACAGCGGAAGCCACGTGACGCTAGTAACACGCCATGAACTTCTAGAAAATACATGTCCCTTCGCGAAGCCTCGAGTGTTTACTAGATGTACGGTATTCTTGTATATAAGACCGCCAACAAGTGACGGCCACAATGTAATTGAACTGCAGACAGAGATAGAGACTGACAACTGAGTCGAGCACGTGAGTCGTTCGTTGTGAATTATAGCGTTTGTTATAGCGTGACTGTGGAAATTAAGTGTATTGCAAAGTTGTATTCAGAAAGAATAAACCAGTTTTATTTAAGAAAGGACTTGTATCGCTA